CTCTTAACAGCATACACTATATTACTCTGTTTTTGCCGGGGAACTGGATCTTTGGGGTGAACTAATCTGAACTGCGTTTATACTGTGCATGTGACAATAAAACTCTTGAATCTTGAACCTTTAGTCAAAGCGTACCCAGCTTAGCATGTATCTGTGAAACCACATGACCCAACTAAGTCAAATTCTCTTGTTTTTGTTTTTGTGTTCATTGAACACATCTGTGATCCAGTTGACTGTAAATCTGATGCAAACTGTGAATTAAATAATCAGAACTGGTGTTTCTGCTCAGGCAGGTCCTAACAGACAAACTCAAGTGTTTTGATTTTTCCAATCCAACTTCAGACCAAAGTGCTGAACAGAATCAACATTCCAGCAGAGCTCATACAAAAACAAACTTAATCAAAATTAAGATAAGCATTTAAAAAAACACAAGGAGAACAAGACGAGTTTTAAAAACAACAGTGAAGAGGACTGTCTGAGGCTTGTTCCAAAGTTTAGGAGCTGCTGCAGCAAAAGATCAATCCCCCCTGAGTTTGAGTCTGGTTTTAGGGACCCCCAGGAGCAGTTGATCAGTTGATCTGAGGGAGCGGGGGGATTAGGGATGCAGCAGGTCAGACAGGTAAAAGTATTTTAAAATGGATCCTAAAAGGCACAGGCAGCCAGTGAATTGAAGCTAAAATATGKTCATATTTACATGACCCTAACCCCTAACCACAGCATGTTGGACCCTCTGCAGTCGGGCGATGGAGGACTCACTAAACCCCAGTTAAAGTGTGTTACAGTAATCCAGCCGGGTGGTGGTAAAGGCATGGATCACTGTCTCAAAATGTCTCCTTGGAATGATGGGTTTTATTTAGGCTAGCTGCCTCAAATGATAAAAACTCCTRCTAACAACTGACCTAATGTGGTTGTCTACTTTAAGGTCAGGATCTTCATCAACTAACAATTTACTGTAGTCAAGGAACCCAGATGTACAGGGGAGAGGCCAACAGTACCTCCAAAAACCATAACCCCAGTCTTGGTTTCATTAAAACTCAAAACATTCAGTGCCATCCAGACCTTCAGGTCCTCAAGACTCATAAGAAGTGAGTCTGTTGTGTAKGAGTTTGACGTTTTGAGAGGGACATAGATCTGCCTGTCGTCTGCGTAACAATGAAATGAAATACCATGCTTTCTGAGACTTTTTATRTCATTCTGATGAATCTGTTTTAGAGTAAAGAGAAACCGGACCTTGATGCTGTTGAAAGGGTTCCAGCGACGAGGTGGAGAATCAGAGTTCATGTTGGTGTTGGTTCCCATCGTGTTCACAGAACCTGGAAACACACAAACATCTAACTGAGTCAGAGACCGGTTCCTGACCGCCAGACTCCCTCTGTGGTCCTGGACCTGCCTGGTCCTGCATCAGACAAAGCTTCTGAGCAGAGACTCGCTGGAACATAATGTTCCCCTCACTCCTGTTGGAGCCACAATGTGCACAGTCAGCAGGTTTCTGGGACCATTGACTCGGTCTGTGTGGTGGATCGGGTCAGCCAGGGATTAACCCCAACAACCAGACCACCAGAACCAACCTGCTGTCCTCGTCTAAGCCCACCCACTGACATCCCATTCCTGGTCTGCAGAGCCAAAGAACCTCCAGATGGACCAGTTCTTGTGTTCAGTTCTTCAGTCTGCAGAAGGTTCTCTGGTCTCCTTTAACAACKCTCAGGTTCTGCTTCTTTGGAAGTCATTGACAGTTTTATCTGTTAGAATTAAATGTTTAACAGTTCAGTTAAAGTTTGAGAAGATAAAACTCTGAAACCTGTTGGAGGAGCCTGGTCTCTGTTCCTGTTTGAACTTTATAAATCTGATCTTTATTTGAAAAACAAGTTTGTTTTTCTACTCGTTTCCCTGACGTTTTAAATTTTTTACACTGTCCTTCAATGAAACCACTTAAACCCCTCCATCCATCAGGGTCTGTCCSCTGTGTGCCGGTGAGGACAGCAGATCATCAGGGTTTGGTGAGCGGCATGGAGCAGAAACCAGCAGAGCTTCTGAAGGATTTCTGTCCAGGTGACACARGTGTCCTGGAATCTGTGGAACCGCAGAGTCTTCTGTCTCATGAGATGTTGTTTCCCAGAAAACATCTGGCTTTAGCTGATGTTTGGTCTGACCGGGACAGAAGCGTCCTGCTTTCATTTAAAATGTAATCATCAGGTTTTTTATCTAACTTAAACACTAACTGCCCGGCAGCAGCAGCAGGACGGTTTGTTTATCTGACAGCAGCTGCTGCCTCAGATAAAACACACAGTAAGGTTCTTCAGTCTGAAGCAACGTGAAGAGAACATGAAGAGAACATGAAGAGAACGTGAAGAGAACATGAAGAGAACATGAAGAGAACATGAAGAGAACATGAAGAGAACATGAAGAGGCAACAGGAGCTGTGATGAAGCAGAAAAACAGGAAGGACTCACTCTGCTCGGCTCAGACTCGCAGCTCAGCTTCACTCCTCCTGATTTCTGAGGAAGAAATGTCCACAGTCTTCTCAGCAGGAGGAGGAGGAGGAGGAGGAGGAGGAGGAGGGACAAGGAGCAGGAAGAGGAAAAACTGAAACAGGAAGTGCTGCTCCTACAGAAAAATAAACTTCAGGAATATATAATTAGTTTTTGCAGGATGTTGTTGACCTGATTTTACTGAGAATCTGTTTGTTTTATGTATTTTTTTACATTTAAGATTAAATAAATTCCTGCATTTAAAAAAATCCTAGTTCATTGTGAGATTTGTGATTTGTGTGTTGGAGTCAACAACAACAACAGYAGTTGTTGTGCAGCAGGATCATTGGTCAGATTCAGTCTGTTGGGTTTGTCGTGACGTTTCCTGTCAGATAAATACAGCTGTTTGTTTGGATAAATGTTAAACACAACTTGTTCATTCTTACCAGACGCTCAGCTGGTGTTTAACTTACAAACACCAGGTAATATTTAATTAAACATATTTATTGCATGATTTTAAAGCACAGAAGAATTTAAAATGAGTTTTAAGTTTGATGAATTCATGTTTTATTGTTCAGAAGATTAAACTCTGTTTTAAAGGGTTGAATGTGTTTCTTTAATCTTCTCTCAGTCCTGTTTGTTCTTCATGAACTTTTATCTCTCAGTCACAAATATCTCCTGACGCAAAACTCTGAATTTATTTAATTCTTATTAGCAATTTAAACGAATCAAACTAGATTATTTTGTTGTGAATTCAATGTTTTGGGGTTTGATTTACTGAACACTGAAAAAAATAAAGGCTGTTTGTAAAATTTGAAACTTTCATTGTGTTTGGACAGTCAGGTCCAGGTCTCAGGAGACAACACTGCCCCCTAAAGGTCAACAACTTTCATCACCACATGTTCCGTCAGCAATAAGTGTTGATGAAACAAAGATGCTGATTAATGAGGTCCACTGTGAGCTGCTTCCACACAGACACAAGTCATCAACAGTTTGATAGTAATTAGTCCTGTGGGAGGAAACCAAGGAGCTCAGAGAACAACACAGATTACAGGAGAGTCACTAAAAACTTTTACAAACTGTGTTAAACTCTGACTTTAAACAAACTCTGAGTGAGACGAGTGAAACAAGAAGATGCTTCATGTTTCCTCTTTAACTTTGTAACACTAAGAAGAGAAAACAGCTGCAAAAAGGCAGAAGCCTCAATGCAGAAACTCAGCATGAAAAATCATTTTCCACAAGTGGAAAAATATCACTAGATGAAACAATTTAAACACTAAGTAAAAATGTATTCTGGGGCAAAACATTCAGATTAAACAACTTAAAAAYAGTCAACTAAAAGAAAGAAAATTACTATCGTTCCCCCTCAATGCCTCAGACTCATCTATAGTAGTACTGGGAAGTATGCCGGTTCGTACAGAAAACCATGATGAAAAGATAATGTGATACCAGTAAATTTGTTAAAAATACCACAATATAAAATTTAGGTCATACCACCCAGCACTAATCTGGCAGCACGACGGCTCAGTGGTTAGCACCGACGCCTTTGCAGCAAAAAGGTCCTGGGTTCAGAACTAAGGTCTTTCTGTGCAGAGTTTGCATGTTCTCCTCGTGATCGCGTGAGTTTTCTTCAGGTACTCCGATTTCCCCCACCACTAAAACATGTACAATAGGTTGCCTTCAGGCCCAGGCATCCCTTGAAAAAGAGATCTGAGATCTCAACGGGACTTGCCTGGCTAAATAAAAGGTAAATTAATTAATTAATTGATCTATAGTTATTAATCTATATTATTAATCCCCCACACGAACACCTCAGACTCGACCATCGTCCCTCATGAACGTCTAAGACCAAACCATCATCCCAACTAGACACCTCAGACTCGACCATTGTCCCCCATGAACGTCTAAGACTCAACCATCATCCCAACTAAACACCTCAGACTTGACCGTCATCCCCACTAAACATCTCAGACTCAACCATCATCCCAACTAGACACCTCAGACTGAACCATCGTCACCATGAACGTCCAAAACTCAACCATCATCCCAACTAGACACCTCAGACTCAAACATCGTCCCCCATGAATGTCCAAAACTCAACCATCATCCCAACTAGACACCTCAGACTCGACCATTGTCCCCCATGAACGTCTAAAACTCAACCATCATCCCAACTAGACACCTCAGACTCAACCATCGTCCCCCACGAACATCTAAAACTCAACCATCACCCCAACTAGACACCTCAGACTGAACCATCGTCCACCATGAACGTCCAAAACTCAACCATCATCCCAACTAGACACCTCAGACTCAAACATCGTCCCCCATGAACGTCCAAAACTCAACCATCATCCCAACTAGACACCTCAGACTCAAACATCGTCCCCTATGAACGCCTCAGACTTGACCATCATCTCCACCATCCAAACTGAATAAGTAACATCAAATAAAGTTTTCACCTTTAGTTCCCTGTAAAAATGAAAAGCCCAACGGTTGGAAACAGAATCGAAGTTTTCAGTTTTTATTGTGAAACATTTATTTTTTGCACAGAAAGATTATTTTTTATTCACATAAAGCTTATTTTGTTACTTTACTWGAAATTCTAAAAAGCCCAAATGGATTCCATCAGTTTCTGTCTCTCCTGTATGTTATCTTACATCCATTACTTTGTTTTTCTTGAACACAGCACAGATTTTCTGCCGGACCTCTTTAATCTGGAGTCCGTAGATCACGGCGTTGAGAGCAGGAAGTGCAACGTGGCCGAGGAGCGCCGCCACCTTCCTGTGGTCGGCCAGCTGAGGGAAGCGGTGCAGGATGACGATGATGAAGCCCGACACCAGCAGGATGGTGTAGACTATCAGGTGGGTGGCGCAGGTCTGCAGTGCCCGGCTGTTCAGCACCTTGTTCCTGCTGCTCAGACACACCACGGCGATCTTCAGGTAGGTGACGGTGATGCTGCAGATGGACGAGCCCAGCAGGACCACCGTGTAGCCCAGACCATAGATGTTGTTGATCAGGAGGTTCTCGCAGGAGAGGCTGAACAGGGAGGCGTTGTCGCAGAACAGGTTGAAGACGAGGCTCCTGCAGCGGGTCAGGCGGACGCTGAGCCCGATCAGGATCAGAACCAAGACTCCAGCTGATCCCCAGGCAGCCCACGACAGACCCACCACTAACCTGTGGGTCATGATGGCGGCGTACCTCAGCGGGCTGCAGATGGCCACGTAGCGATCGAACGCCATAATCATGAGGACGGTGTGGGAGACGCTGGCGTGGAGGTGGACGCAGAAGGCCTGGACAGTGCAGACGATGTAGTGGACGTAGCGCTCTGAGCTGGAGACCATCAGGTCTTTGAGGATGTGAGGGACAATGATGGTGGCCCCGAACACATCGTTAATGCTCATGTTGCAAAGCAGCAGGTACATGGGCTCCTGGAGGGCCTGGCTGCTGAAGACCAGGACCACCAGGCCGATGTTGGACACCATGATGAAGATGTAAACCAGGAMGAGGAGGAAGAAGGCAGGCAGGGAGGACTGAGAGGTCACCTTCAGGGCCTCCAGGGTCACGAAGTCGCTGCTCAATGTCCAGTTGTTCATTTTTCATCTGCAACAAAGGAGCTTTTAAAACCTGACTCAACTAAACTGAATTTAAATCAAAGTTTCAAACACAGACTGGGTTCAGATTGAAACACGTTTTTTGCTGCAGGATTGTTTCTGAGAGAAAAAGCTGCTGGAAAACTGCTGTAATTAAATGTGACAGTGCAAAATAAACAATTTGTTTTTACACAGAAATCCTGCAGGATTTATTTCTTCTGAAGGGGTCTTAATGATCCCCTACAACCAGGTAGTCTGGTCCTCCTGAGTGCTGCTTTTCTCATTTCTCCTAATTATTCTCTACACTTTAACCTTAATATAAAACTATTGCTTCTGATTCATACATATATGTATTTTATTTAACATAAGACTTCAGGTCTCAGTTGAACAGAATAAACTAAACATGCAGTCATGTCAGGATTAAGTTGTTATGAGGTTTTTTGTTGTTAAATTATGAATCTAAAAGAAAACAGAGAAGCTTCATTAAGCTGAGCAGTAAAAATGTTTCACACATTAAACACCAAACAGCACAATAAATGACAAAAACATTCAATATTCAGAAAAACGTACTGCTTCAGACTCAACTCAAACTATAACACTTGTAGAATAAAAAAGTGAATCATCTTCCAAACAGTCTGGTTTTAGTGTTAGAATCAGGATGTGCTTCAATAAATCCAAACAAAAAACTGAATCAAGTGAAATTTTACACAAAATAAAAACATAAACATCAAATTTAATATAGAATTATGTGAACAAAGTCATTAAATTGATACAAATGAAAACATCTCAGTGAAATATTTCTAACTTCCTTCATACAAGTTAAAGTCAATGAATGGAAGGAAACATTTACTGATTTTAAGTTAAACTTAAATGATTTAGGAACTATTTGGTCATTTAAAATATTCAATACAACTTAAAATGTYTAAGTGCTGCTTAAAAAATTAAAAACAAAAACTCTGATCAGTGGTCCAGTCTGGACCCTCGGGGTTCAGGAAGGAAAGAGAAGCTGCAGCATCTCTCCTCCCCAAACTCTGAGATTTAAAGCATCTCTGTTTAACCAGTCATTGGCTGCAGACCAACCACAGGTGAGTTCGGCTCAGAACCGCCCCCCCAACAGGACCTCACTGATGAGAAGATGTCAGGTGTTTTAAACAGGCAGGTGATTAATGACTGAACACACCTGGACTGATGAGATGATGGAGTGCAGCTGTGAGAGAGGAGCTAAACTTAGCAACCAGTGAAGTGATTTATGAGCACAAAATAAACTGTAATCACTAAAACCCAAAGAACCGGACAGTTCAACCAACCAGAACAACAGAACCAGCTCCTCATGTGGACCAGACCAACAAAGACCCTCATGAGCCTCATGATCAGAGGTCCAAAACAATCAGAACTGGACTCTGCAGAGTCTGTCACCTCCCATCATGACATCATCAGTTCCTACAGTTCATCAAACTGAAGTGTGTTATAAATGTTTGTTTCTATGACTTGTGAATAAGAACGTGTTGATCTGTCCCAGGAGAACCAGTCTGGAGAACTGGTCCTGGTTGTTATAAAACCGTCTGCTGATGAAAGAAGTGAGGGTMCTGTCAGCAGACGTGAGTATGAGAAGAAGAAATGCTGTCAGTTTATCATTCATGGCTTCAGCTTTAATCTTCACTTTTATATTTAAATGATTTTATAGGAAACTTTTTGATGTTTTTGTTGTTGTAGAGGCTCATCTGTTCTTCATCAAAACCATAATTTATAAAAATCCTTTAAATCTGTAAAAAATATACTTTGACCAACAAATTCTCCTCAACTTCAGTTTGTTTTTCTAAACTAAAACTAAGCTTTATTCAGCTTCTGCTACTTTACCCTGTTTAACTTCAGATTTAATGACATTTATTGTTTTTGGATCACAAAACAGAAATAAATCATTTTAGAAAATCACTTCATTTATATAATTTTATGTTTAAATTTTAACTGAGCTGACAGTTGACATGTTTGAAACAAGACTGATTAAAAATATAAATCCAGAGTCCAGATTAAATTAGTTTCATACGACATTAAATCATGACTCAATCAAAATTTTAATCTTGTTGACGGTTTTTCTTTTTTCTCTCTGCTGAGTAAAATTTTAAAGATTCAGAATTTAAAAATAGGAATGTTCTTTAACTGTTTATAACCTATAAATGTTGTGTTTTATATAAATACACAGTCATTTAGCTTCTCGCTAAGATTTTTGTTTTTTAGATTTGATAGTTCAACGTCAACTTCTTTAACAAACCTTAGCTGCTCCAGCCGCAGCACAATGATGTTACACAATATACACTTTTTTATTGCTATAGTGGGTGGTCTGTTTCTATT